TGGATGCCATGACTTCCACAGCATTTACAACTAGAGAGAGTGGTGTCTCATCGCCTCCCAGGGAGACCCAGACTGTTGTACTTGGGGCTGGGCCTCCTCCCTGCCAGCCACACACTCACGACCAATGCCTGACCCCAAAGCCAGCTACCAGCCACCACAGCCACTGCCACTTAGGACTCACCACAGCCAGGCCTTTCCTCTTACCCTTTTTGACACCCATCTCTTTTTTGCCAATCTACTTCTATCGTGCCCCTCCAACCCCAACTCAGAAAGCACAGAGGAAAACTTGTTTTTTTAAGGTAATGGTCTTTGAGAAACAGTAGTAACAACTGAAAGATGAATACCAATGTTTAACAATCTTTATGGTCCTGAGATTTTAAGTGTCTCATAGTATATAGGCATATTCTTTTTGTTTCCTGATCCTGAACATACTGAGCATCAGTGATGCAGGAAACCGTCTGGGGTGCAGGTTAGGGCTAAGGTCTCATCCTTGCCCCAGAGAAGCTTCCAGTCCAAGGGGGAGATGGGAAGTGAGTGAGAACACAGGGCAAGGAAGCTTCCAGGGAGGGCTGGCTGAGGGAGCCCACGTACTGACTCCTGAAGGGTGGCAGGAAGCAGAGTGGGGGGGAAGCTCGCAGGGCTTGGAGGCAATTCCAAACTTACGAGGACTTCCTGGGAGAACTCTACTTCCAGGACAACAGGGATAAACAAAGGCATGAATTTCTATGCTCTGGTTCTCATTCCTTTCCTCGGGACCTTCTGTCACAGTGTAGGTACTGGTGTCCAGGAGACACATGGAAAGCAGACCTGTCTTTTGTGTCTGGGATGGAAGAAAAAGGTCCAAGTTCTCTAATTGCAGTATCTATCCAAATGACAGGACCTAATACTTACCACCCAGGGCAGAAGGTGACTGTAGTTTTTAATAGGACTTGAACAAGCCAGTGTGTGCTTCAGGGAGAAATTTCTTCACACCCTCTGAGGAATTAATGGATGTGGAAGCTTACATGGCTCCTAACAAAACCTCAGGAGTGGGCAGTGGAAGGGGTATTGGTGTGTTGAGTCCTCTCGAAATCCTCCAGATTGGTGCCTCCCGAGCATTCTGATGGAACTGGTGATGAGATTGAAATTCCACTTAGGGATTTTGTTGTGCAGTTTTTTTCAACTCTTAACAGTTGTCAGATGGACCTGTCTTGTCTGCTGCAGACGGGACTCGTGTGACCCGTCACTCCACTTCCACATGGGCACCAGTTGTTTTCTCATCTCTCAAGAGTATCAGTGACACCAGCAAGTCTACGAGGAGGTGATGTTCTGACACACCTAGAATTTAGGCTTGGCCAATATCTTAGGTCCACAAGCTGAATTACAGACTTAAGTAAAAGCTGTTACGTGCTTAACAGCATCAGAATTTTCCATTACAAATACTGTTTTTACTCTTTCTTAATTAAGTGCCTTGAGGGGGCTTTGAATTTCCAAACCTTTCAGATCAAAGATTTCTTCAGCTGTCTGAATAATAGGAATGTTGAAAAACAAAAACAAATCCTTTGCCTGCTATAAAATCCTTGCCATGTTTTTGTCTTTATGTAACTCAAAACGGCTGCACTGAAAAATGAGGTTGGTGAGTTCTGTTCCAAACCTAAAAATTCATGAGCAACAAAGTGAATAATGTTGAAAGTGTCATTTGCATTAATCTGACCCAAGAGTACGTGTTACTGAATCCTTACCTAATAGCCTAATGACCCAGAAAATTGCTAATGAGCACTTAGAATAAAACAATTTATGGCTAAGGACACCAAAATGTTTTCAGTTGTTTATTAAAGTGATTTATGACTAAATTGCAATGATTTGGGAATAGTACTGGTGGCCATTGTGATTTCCCTCTGATTCCGCATGCACCCTTTGCTACGTATGTGTCCTTTTAGCAGCCAACTGGCAAAAGAGTGAACTTTTATTTTAAAAGCTTTTGCAGAAAGCAGAGACTTTTTGTAACACAATAGTTTATCATCATCAGTTTGCTGATGTTTTCAGCATAAGGCCTGGGAGTGTATGAGAAATACACTGCTTTTAGCAGGGGGCGTCGTTAGCTTACTGGTCACTGGATCTAATAGGTGAACTGACAACTGGCTACCCATGCCTTCGTGGTCTCAGAATTTCAGCACTTGGAGAACATGCAGCTTTTTGCCCTGTCACTAGAGAGATGTCATTATGCTTGTACTAGTGAAAAAACTAAATAGCAAATACAGTAGAAAGCATGTGTCCTTATGTGGGGACAACAGTGGCGTCTCTTATGTGCTGTCTGACATTTGAGACCAAAGGCACTTTATATGTCTAAGGTAAGAAGAGGTGACCTCTCTAAGAGGTCATCTGTCTTCAATTTCGTCCCCTGTTACCTCTTTAAAACAATTTTTTAATATTTTCTTTTTCTAATTATTAAAAAGAAAGGCACTCTAGAGAAAAAAAATGGAAGATTGAAAAAAGTAAAAGATATAAATGGAAGAATCTTTAAGAAATTCCATTTGCTTTTGCTTTATGTCTATTTACATTTTGTTGCATTTGGTTTATGAGAATGTATTTACATAATTGAAATCATGCCACATGCAAAATGTCTACTTTTTTCTTGAAAACGACCATTTCTTCCATGTTACTCTAAGTTCTGTGGCATGAGTCTTAATGAATATATACTCTTCTACGGAGTGATGTATGTTTTATAACCATTTTGGGACATTTGAGTTGCTTCTGATATTTTGCTATTGTAAATAATTCTGCAATTCACATCTTTTATATGTAGAACTTTTTCAGTATTGCTGTATTAGAGAAAGACTTTAGATGGCAAGTCAAAAGAAGTCAGTTCACCCTGGCTAAAGCAAAAAGGAAATACATTAGCTTGCATAGCTAAGAAGCTGGGGATGGATATGGCTTCAGGCATGGCTGGACTCAAGGGCTACATGGTATTTTCAGAAAAATCTCTCTACCTCCTGTCACAACTTCTCTCTGCCAGTTTCATTCTCAGGCCTGCTCCCTGACATCCTTTTCCAATATTATCAGCACAAGTCCCACGACTGGGGCTCACTACTGGGGTCAAACACCTATCCCGAAGCTAGTCATTGCGCCAGGACAGGATGTCTGTCTGGAAAGCAAACAGGACATTCCCGCTCCCTCTCCCACCTCGCTCCCCAACCACCCTTGCTCTGCACACCTGAACTTTGCTGTCTCTTGAACCCACCAGCCTTCTCTTCACCCAGGAGCACTGCTCCTTTCCCCTCTGCCTTACACTCTCCCCCTGACATCCCTGTGGCCCCCCTCTTCCCTCGGTTCACACTCAGGGACTTCCCTGACCATTCCTCACTCTCTCCCCTCTCTCCCTGCTCTGTTTCTCTTCAGAAACTCATGACTACCTGATGTCCTGTTGCATATTCATGTTTGAATTACTTGTCTCCTTCCATGGGACCCACAAGGGCTGACACTGTTTGCAGCTCTATCAGGCACTCAGTATTCACCAGATGAGTTTATGAGCCCGGATATGTTCCCATCTGTAGGGTCAGCCTACCCTAAGGACCAGAAACACGTGAGGGAATGGTGTGGTTCCCCCAAATGGGCAGCTGTTCCCAGCATACAGGGGCCTACATGCTGCCCTGGCCAAAACAGTGTCACCCCTTACAACTTCAGATCACTTTCTAAAACAGTCATCCAGCAGTGGGACTGCACAGGGTATGAGTGTTCTGAGTTCTTAAGTACGTATGTTATCTCCCCCATAAACATTCTTTTCATAGCAGACCAAATAATCTTCCTTAAACATGGACCACATCATGCCCTCCCCAGCTTAAAACTGATAGCTGCCTATGGCACTGTGGAAGGAGAAGGGCCCCCCGACCCTGGCACCAAGCCCCCTCCCCCTGCCCGCCCCACCCGAAATGGCCCTGGGCCAGCCTTCCTTCCTGACCTCTCAGGCTCTCTCCTGCCTTGAATCTGCTCATGCTGGGCTCAGGACCCTTGTACCTTCTCTTCCGTCTCTGCCTGGAAGGCCAGTTTAGCAGGTCTTGCTTGAGCGCCACCTACTCTTTCTTCCTCGGACCTCAGCTGGAACGTCCCCTCAGGTGGCCCTTCTTGGCCACTTGGGCAGCACTTCCTCCCACACTCTCCCGCAAACATGGCCTTGCCTTCTCCCCCGACTCACACCCTTTTGTTTGCTGCCCTATTTATTCTGTCTTCACCTCTAGAATGTGAGCTCTGTGAGGCCTTTTCTCGCTGCCCATGGCTGCAGCCCCAAAACTCAAAACTGCTACTGGCACATCAAAGGCCTTTAGAGTGTTTTTGTTGGAAAAAAATTGACAAATTTCTCTCCTGGAGGGTTATAGCAACTAACACCCCTATCAACACTTAGAATTCTCATTTCATCTCATCTCTCACTGAAATAATGTTCTTAGAATACAGCTCAGGAGATGGAATTGTCTTGGGCCTTCAGTACATGGGTCATGGAGGAGAAATTGTGGGCTATTTTCTGGCAGGCATCCTCCATCTGAACAGAGCTGAGGCCACCCTGTACACCGTGTTACAGCAGGGCCCCAACAGGATCTTACTTGCGCATCTGGTGTGAGTGCAGCCTGAATCTTCATCCCCATTATATAAATGGGGGCATACCTATTATGTATGTAAGAGCAAAAAGTTTCCTTTTTGTTGTAGCTAGATTCAGGGAACTTTCTAAAAATGCTACATTGAGTAAAAATCAGTGAATAATCAGCTCAAGCATTTGGGAGGTAGATGGGCACTGTTTCCGTGCACTTCCATCCCAAATTAGGCAGTTGTGTTGGTATTTTGACAGACCCCTCTCTAATTTGTTCATTAACATTAAGGGTACGCATATTTTTGTACATTCATTTTTTTGTTTTTGTTGGTATCATTAATATATGATTACATGAGCAACACTGTGGTTACTAGATTCCCCCCATTATCAAGTCCCCACCACATTACCCCAGTACAGTCACTGTCCATCAGCATAGTAAGTGTACATTCTAAGAATTTTAATTTAAAAAAGTCTTGCCAAAAGAGTTGATCTACATAAAAAGTATTTAATATAGAGAACACAAAAGCACCTTTGATCAGGTAAAAGTCCCTATGACATAGATGAGATTATCCTAATCAAATCTCCCTTTACCTGAAAAGAATTTCTGATTGAATACAAAATAATGAACTTCATGAACCTGCCTTTTGCAGATGAATCTTCCACCTCACTCAACGTGGGCATCATAATTAATTCAGCAGAATGATTGTGTTCTCCAGAAGAAAGCCAATACAAAGTTTTCTAGTTTAAAAACAGCACCACTGGAGGAAGGGGATATATATATATCTTTTCTGTGCAAAGTCTCTAAGCAACTGATTTACCAAAATTCACGTAAACTAAACTTTGAGTGGTTGGTTTTTATAACGTTCCTGTGATCTGGGGTGGGAAACAAGAAAGTGAGAAACTGAAGCAGAACAGTCACTTTGATGAATCAGAAGACATGTGTGCACTGCCCTGCCAGAGCGTGTTGTGCTTGTTTCCCACCAGCTGGTCACCAGTCAGCGACCTCCACCACGAAGGGCGTTTTCACGTCTATCCTGCCGCTGTTAGTGACGGTGCAGTCGGTGAGAGGGCGGTCATGCCCGTCGGTTGCCTGGAGTTCTATGGAGTGGACCACTGTCTGATGAGAGAAAAGCAGGCCTGGGGTTCACTTCTGACCAGCAGCTATGGCGACCAACACGGGAAATGAACGCCAAGTCTGAGAGCCCAAGTGGGAAATCAGTTTTTTGTTTTTGTTTTTATGATTACAGAAACCGTGCAAGCAAATGATGGAAAACTTAGAACAGTCAGGAAATTTATATGTAACAGAATAAAATTCACCCACTAAATTGCTAATCAGAGAACATATCTGTGTATTTCCTCACTTCTTTTTATTATCACTTTATGTTCTTTTAAAAAATGCAGATGTTTTGGTAAACAGCTGGCTCTATTAAAAGGTATTTCTACTCATTCATCTCAACCCAATTTGAGTCAGCTTCAGCTCCACCCTGTAACAGGAATAATAAAATGGGACAGCAAGCCAGTTGGGTCTGCTGCCAGCCATTAATCTGCAGGTTGAGTGTGACGCTACTTAACTCCAACCGCACAGTGGTGTGAAGGCCCTTCCTCTACCCTGGAAGGCTTCACAAGCCCAGGTACCACCATGGTTCACACTGAAGGTGGGAGGACTGGTCAAGGACTAAGAACATCAGCCTCTGGTGGGTCTCCCAACCACAGTTGAGACAGAAATAGCAACGAAGTGTGTGGGTGCCTTGGACATGGTATGTCACCTAATCCAATTTCTGGCTAACTTAGGTTAATGTGAGATAAAATACCAGCATTCATCTTCTTATAATATATATTTCTAAACAGACTGTGTGTGCATGTGTGTGTATACACACACGAGTACCTGAAGCAGTGGCTACACGTCTGAATGACCTGTGGCATGTCCTAAAAATGCTTATTTGATGGTTACAGTGGAAATTTCAATGCTGTGTATATCTTACCACAATGATGAAAAATGCTTATTTGTGGAACCCAGCTCTGGAGGCTCTGATTCTGTAAGTCTGAGGTGCAGTCCAGAACACTCAAGTGTTAACAAAGCAATCCAGCTGATCCCTGAGGGATCAAGGAGTGGAACTTTGGAGAATCTGCAAATTAAACTATATGGAACACACACATACACATGTATTTTCTTTTCTTCCAGAAAGTTCATAGTTTTCATTAGTCTCTCAAAGATGTTTATGACCCATAAAATGCCAAGGACTGTGCCTATGAAACCAGGCAGCAGGCCTCCCGGATGCATACCAGCGGGTGGAGGAAGTTGGTGGAGTCGATGAGAGAAGGCAGACAGACATCAGAGCTGGAAGAAAAGCAATGGCCAGAAGAAAACCCAGAACTTGCACTCCTCATGTCTCTCACAGCTGAGTATGATGCTGTGTGCAAAATCACTTGGTGAATGAATGCGTGAGTCAGTTTACATTTAAACTAGTTAGAACCTGGTTAGGCTCAGTGGCCAAAAACCCTGTGTTTAGCTCATTTCAAAAGCACAGTTAAGAGTCCTGAGGAGTGCTGAAATTTGTTGTTATTTAAGAATAGATTCTTTTGAGGACAGTTACTGCTTATGAGAATACGGGCATGTTCTTTATTGTGATGGGATGCAAAGTGCCATCCCCTCACGGAGTGCTGTGCGCCAGCGTGTTTCCCCGGCGCCCCATGTGCTAATGAGAATTCCATCTTTGATGGCTCATGGGTGAGCCCTGGGCTTGTGAAGCCTTCCAGGGTAGAGGAAGAGGCCTTTACACCACTGTGCGGTTGGAGTTAAGTAAGGCAGTTGAATACTGCCTTTTTTGTAAGAGAGGTTCTATTCCACCGGCTCAGTTCCCGGCTTTCTGTTCGGTAGAATCAGAACGGCAGGTAGAAGTTGTGGAAGAATTGCCATGAATAAGATTGATTTCATTACTTTTGGACAAGGGAGGCAAACAACTCATATGAAAGCAAAACAAAATGAGATGAAATATAAAGAGGACAAGGGAGTGGAGGACAGCCCAGGATCAGGTAGGGCAGACCTTACATGGCCGGTTCAGGACCTGGAAGAGCTTCTCTGGCAGTTGTTAAGGAGGAGAAATGTTGGGAGTGGAAGAGAATGAGGACTTTCAGAAGTGTTCTATGGATTTATGAATGACTCCTTGCATATTCTTTGAGACAGACCAGCGCAGATTTGATTTATCTTTAGTAATTTTATTCTTACTCTGTGTATCTCTGAAGATGATTTGCATCTGTACTGAACCACATGGGGCTCAGAGCTTTAAAAGCACATGTATTTTTTAATAATGGTAGGAAACACATAGCATAAAATTTGTTGTCTTATTCATTTGTAAATGTACAGTTCAATAGTATTAAGTATATTCACAGTGTTGTGCAAGTAATCTCTGGAACTTTTTCTTGTGAAACTGAAACTATTTATCCACTGAATGCCAAGTTCCCATTTCCTCATCCCCCCAGCCTCTGGCAACCACTATTCTACTTTGTGTTTTTATATATTTGACTACTTTTAGATACCTTATATAAGAGGAATCAGCCAGTCTTTTTGTGACTGGCTCACTTTACTTAATATGACATCCTTAAGGTTCATCCATGTAGAAGCATGTGACAGGATTTCTTTCCTTTGTAAGGCTGAATAATATCCCACTGGATGCACACGTGGAGCCCTGGTTTTATTTGGTTACATTAAAAAGTTTCCATTTATATCAAATAGTGAGATAAGTTAGATACTCAGCTTCTCCATGTCAAGTCCCCAGCTTCTATCCCATGTTCCTAACAACTAAATACCATACATATATAATTTATCCACCTTTGAAGAGGACAGTCAGCATGTAACAATGGACCTCTAACAAGCACATTTAAGATGAAAATAATCACTGAAAGTATTCTCATTATACAGCTCTGATTGAGAAAAAATAATATATCAAGTTACCATTCCATCGATGACTTTTCCAAATACCACGTGTTTGCCATCCAGCCAGGTGGGCTTGGTCAAGGTGATAAAGAACTGAGAGCCATTGGTGTCAGGTCCGGCATTGGCCATGCTGACCCACCCGATGCCATAATGCTTCAGTTTGAAGTTCTCATCAGGAAACGTCTCGCCGTAAATGCTTACACCTGGATGAGACAAGACAGAAAAGGGGAGAATCAGCAGATGTATGAAAAGTAAATTCTTTGAAGAGAAGCCTAAGGTTTTAGCAAAATTGACTAATGGACCCCTACAGGAGGTAGGAGGGGGAAAAGATAGCCTAACATAAGGAGAGGATAAAATGAACTCCTCAGGGAAGCAGAGCACCAGGGACCGAAGCAACAAACAAAAGCCTTAAAGGTGACACAAGATGGCAGAGTTGGCAGTGACCCTCGGGCCCCAAACCAAGACCCAAACCTTCACTGAGCAAGTCCATGATTTTGCTCTGAAATGAGAAGTAGCTAACAGGCAGGATGATGTCTGAAAGCCAGATGGGAAGGTTCATGAACCGGCCTAGTGGCTCGATCCCTGTCCCCAGGCTCAGGCCGCTTGTCCTGGGTCACTGCTACCTCCACACCCAAATAGGGAGCAGTAAGCACCTAATACACACCCTCAGCTAGTTTCCACCGCGACTCTATGGAACCTAGATTCTCAATCCCCTTCCGAGTGACAAACAGAGGCCACAAAACTTAAAACAGCTGAGCAGAACTTGAACATCTGACCTCCCGACTCTAAAGCTGGTATGCTTCCCTGCCTGAGCACAGCGAGCAACAGCAGCCAGCCTGGAGGTTATTAAGCCCAATGACTTCAGGGTGCGGAGGGGATGGCGATTGGGAGCATCAGTGATCCAGCTTTGAACGGAAGCACCAAAGGCAGGCATGAGGGCTGGAGTTCTGGCAGAGCAGTGAGCAGAGTAGAACACATCTTTTCCCATAAAACAACACTATGGACCATGAGAAATATCTGCTTCATCCTCCAGCACCTTGAGTGCCTGTCATGCCCACTTCCTCCCCTTCTACAGGTCTCCTTAGCCATTGGTTACAACCTTAAGATCCATAGAAGCACTGGAAGTGGATACCAAAGGTAAGCGATGTATAGCTAGTTGGTCAGTGACAGGTGAGGTGGTCCAGAAGGAAAGCTCTCCTTACAGAGGTCTAGGCTAAATTTAACTATCCACAGGGTCCTGCTCCAAAATTGGAGAATTTTAACTCAAGATATGCATACGCATGTTTGCATACACACATGCACACATACACACATGCACTCACAAGGCAGGGAAGGCAGAGAGAAAAAGACACCTAGAAAAGAGGACACAGTGAGGCTCAGTCACCATTTCTGCTGGGCCCCAGGGTAGGACAGAGGGATGCCAGTTCCAAAGGGCTCTCCCAGGGAGACCCAGCTCTGCAGCATCTTCACACCATCCCCTGGGCACCTGCTCCAGCCCATTAACCCAAGTCACCTGAGCCTGTTTTCTCTGCCCCATTCTACATCCCCACACCCTGCAGCCCTTGTGCAAGGGCTAAAAGTAGTCCTCCTGAAATAAACCATTGCCATACACATAGAAGGAAAATCGGGCTTGAAAGTGGCCTGAGTGTTTCTTCAACAAGTTGGCACTTTAATGTCCACCAAGACCAGTATTTCCTGAATCAAAAATCTTCAGCCTTAAGTAAATTTAAATTGCATGTAGTTATGTATATCATGTGTGTTCAGGAAAAGCCCTCACCACATTTCTGAGGGAAAACAGTGTAGGGAGCTGGGGAGCTGGACTCCTCAATAAGAAACAACAGTAAGCTTAGGGATATTTGAAACTCTATAAATGTAATTATTTGGCTTGACAGCCCCAGTCCTCCTCTACCAGCATCCACATTGGGAGGTGGCTGCCAACCCAGTGTACAAACAACTTTATAGTCTTCCTGTCCTTCCCAGAACAGACATCTTTCTATACATACTAGTGGTCTCGCAGTTTAATAGCTGCAAAACAGTCTACTAAATGAATATACTCACCGTGGAAAGATAAAGAACATCAAAGCAATAATGTTTCAAATTAGGAAGCCCCACTCATTTGTACCTACCAGGATTCAGGCAAATGAGGCCCCCCCAAAACCTATCCTTCTTAAGGAAATAGTTTGGTGGTCTTTATGACTTTATTCCTTAAATCTTGTACTTCACTAGGTTGGGTGAATATGTTGGCTTCATCTAAGGTTCCCATATGGTCAGTAGAGAAGGGAAACATGCACACGACAGGGTTACCTCCAGTGCCATCTCCGTGGGTGAAGTCTCCTCCTTGAATCATGAAATCTTTGATGACACGATGAAATTTGCTTCCTTTATATCCATATCCTTTCTAAAGAGATTATGGCAATTGAATATACAAGTAGCTATAACCCATACTGAAAGAGAAACCCCAGTGTTTTATCTCGAAATGACAAAATGAGAAAATAACACAAAATAGCTATAGAGCTTGATTAGGTCCCTGATATAATTCACTGAAAGATATTTATCATTAGCTGGCAAAATAAATACACAAACTGTGGGAGGAAAGTATTAGTGTGAATAAGTAAGAAGAGGGTAATCTGCATTTTCACTTGATGATTGTGGACCGTCATTTTCTAGAACCCTAAGGACACTGAATGCCTGAAGAATCAGATTTTATAGGAAAACAAAGTAAAATGTTATGTCTCAGGTTCCTCTGACCAAGTAATCTAATAGTGTATTTTCCCCGAAGACATCTTTATGCTTAGCTTAAGAGAAGGAAGATCTAATGCTGTGCACAAAGGAAATAAAGCTCAGACATACCTCTCCTGTTGCCAGAGCAACAAAATTTTCCACAGTCTTGGGCACAACTTTTCCAAAGAGGCCAATCACAATCCTGCCAACATCTTTGTCTCCAATCCTCACATCAAAGAAGACCTGCATGTGGTTGACAGGCAGAGTGGAAGGTGATAACATGGAAAAGCCACCAATACAAGGTAAGAGAAAATTAAAATCTGAGAATTGAGCTGTATATGAAAGCCCTGCTCAGCAGTATTTTATGAGTCTTGAAGGAGCATGAGCTAAATTAAAGGGCCTCTGAAATGATTTTGTGGGTGCATTTCCCTCACAAATATTCATTCAACAAACGTTTATTGGGTACCACCTATGGGCCAGGCACTGTTACTAGGTACTGGGTTGGATGTTTGGCTCCATACTGTCCACTTGCCCACACACCCCATACAAACACTGCTACTTCCTGTTTCCCAGCTTTAGGGATGAAGGTTAGAGTGGAAACTTGCTGCTCTTCTGCAAGCTAATGCTCTGTAGTCTTGGCAGGAGAAAGAAAATGGTGAGGAGAGAAATACCCTAACCATCTAGATTTACTTTTTGCAGCTTTGAACAGTGCCAAATGGCCAATGAGTTCTCAACAGACATCTGCTGTCAAGGGGGCTGTGAAAGGTGATCAAACACAACATGGTTCTCCAAAAAGCCTGTCACTCACTTCCAAGCAGTCAGGCCCCAGGTCCCCAGCCCCGCCCAGAGCACTGACACAACCGTTTACCCTGTAAACTTTAGACACTGAATTCGGTTGGCATAGAAAACACTTCCAGGAGTCAGTGCGAGTCACTTTTTTGAAGATAAACCTTAAAAGTTCTCTTGGCCTTTTTCAAAAAACTGTTTGACCTGAAATGAAATTATATACATTTTGCTTCACAAATCACTGTGTTAAGATGATTCTGAGACAGAATGCTTGAAAAGGCCACAGAGTCGAAGGGCATTCTACTAGTGAGTTTAGGTTATAGGAACCAATTTACTGTTTGAATGAGTAAAAAAAGGCATACAAGAGATGGCTTTAAAAAATATAAGAAGGGTTGTCAAAGAAAAGATGTCTTACACTTTAGAAAAATCATGAAGTAAAGACTGTCAAGCTTCAGTTCAAGACAAAAGCTTCTGCCAATACGTCAGTACGTCTGTCACAGGGTGACATGATATTTAGTGTTCCATGTGGCATTTTACATTTTTTACATGGCCAAAGCAGCAAAAACTGTATTGTTATTTACATGGTAGAACTTTACAGAATGCATAAAACACCATGCCCTTAAAAGATGAGGCAATGCAATAGAGGAGAACAATCCAACAAGCTTCAGGGACAAGAAGATCCTTAGCAAAGGGAGTCCCAAGCCAAGGAGTAAATCCAATATGGGCAATAATCAAGCAGCAGTGGGAACCGAATCAGGGGTGTAATACTGCAGGAAAACCATAGAAGACACTAGAAAAGCCTGCCAGACTTTTAAAATAAAGAAGAGAAAATAAAGCCTGTGGCTGTTTAGACAGCAAGGAGATTAAAATGTGCAAGAGCAGCATGAGAAGATGAAGAAAAGGCATGTCACTCAGTCTAACTCTTCAATAAAAATCTGATTTTCTTATACATGCTCCAGCATACATACAATTTTTTCCCAAACTGTAGCATCCTTCAACTTACAGAGCATTTTTCCCAATGCTAATGGAAATGATAAAATCACACCTTATTTAGTGAACAAGTATATCAAAGATCCATTAAAAGGCACTCACTGTGAGGGTACGAGCTATAGGAGAGTCCCTGTGCTGAGGGAGCATGGGCCCAGCACCCCCAGACACCCCCAGACACCCAGGCTGGGAGGAAGGCTGAGGGCTGAGGGAAGCATCCTTGGAAAGGCATGACAGGAGGTGGGCCTGAAGGAGGGCAGCAGTCTCCAGGGGACAAGAACAGGTACAGCCCTGCCTGGCAGAATCCCCTCTGGAACCCAAGCACCACAGCAGGAAGTGTGGTATGTGGTCAGCCTTTTCCAGAAGGCAGAGGAAGGATGCTGGCCACGGGAATGTAAGGATGGGGTAAAGGGAGAGGCATTTAAATAAACGGGGACACGGGAGGAGAGGAAGGGAAGGAAGGATGCAAACCACACCTAGTCACTGGCATCTCTTAGAGAATTCATCCTCACCCCATCCTTGGTGGGAGCGGCGGGCACGACTGTCACCAGTTTACAGATGATGAAAGTGAGGATTTGGGAGGTTAAGTGATTTACCGCAGTTTCCCAGCAAGGAGTGTGAAAGTTAAAATTTCAGTCTTAGGCTGCATCCCAACTGGGGTGCGATTTACTTTGAATCCAGCTCTCCTGGTGCAGGCAGGGAACTCCTCAGGGGTAGAAGCAATGTTTTTAGACCCCCAGTGCCCAGCCCAGGGTTGGCTCATGCAGGTCCCCAAAACTGCCAGGCAATGCCTAATGAGGAGCAGGGCACACACACACACCTAGACAGAGGGTGAAGCAGGGCTTGAGGGGCTGCCAGGCAAAGCCTCCCCGCACACCTCTCACCCTGAGGTCCTCTCTAACTTGGCTGCAAGCCCTGGGAACAGGCCCTGTGCTGGGTGAGGGGTGGGGCTGCACAGACCTTGTCCTCACGGGGCGTATGGAGCCACAGGAGAGAAAACACGTGCACAAGTAGCTACAGTGTAACAGGAAACCAAGGTTGATAAGAAGACTAGGACAGATAAAATGTGGTTAGAGTGGCGATAATCTATACAGATCAGGCAGGCTTCCTGGATGAGGCGGTGCTTCCACACTACACTTTCAAAGTGGGCACCTCAGCCACTCCTTTCCTCCCCTCGAGGCTGCCTGTGAAAGTCATTTGAAAATTATGGAGCACTGGCAGAGGGAAGAGACACTCACATAGCCTGACTCAAACCCCTGCAGGGTTAACTCTTCCATCTCCAAAGTAACTAAGGAAGACACCAAGTACCTGAGCTGTGATGTGAGGAAACTGTTCTCAAACCTGGCGCCATCCCTAAGTGGCCTTGGGACCTTGTGCAAGTTAATTAAACTGAGTTCCCAGTCCTCATCTGTGAGGCAGATGATGATGCCTGACACGGGAGGATTCATAAGATCACACAAATCACACGAGCTACTGACTTTTAAATCAGGAACTTAAATCAGAGCTAAGCTCTTGAGCTGATTTATCACATCTAATAGGCCTCCCAGGTAGGTATGACTTCCATAGCCATTCGCAGGAGGAAAGGGAGCCTCAGACAGGAGATAACTCGCCCAGTCACCCAGCCATAGCCGCTAGGCCATGCCATCCTCAGAAAGTGGCAGCAGGTTGTGACTGTGACACTGCAGCTGGAAAGATGGCAGCAGTATTCTCTGGCCTGGCACAGAGCCCATGGCATGTGCTACAAAGTGCAAGGCTGCAAATGCCAATTCAAAGTCTGGATTTTGAGGCAGTGAGCCACAGCCCCGACTTGAAGGCCTCTGTCTGGGCAGGAAGCTGAGGCCGTGGCTGGGAGCCAGATCCATGGACAAGGCGGTGGCCACGAAAGGGCCCTGTTGGAGGACAGAGCACCTTACGCCTTTCTTATTTACAGATTCCTATTTTTAAATGAAGTCAAGAGGAAAGAAAAGGAGAAGATGGCTGGGGAAAACAACACACTGGAGTGATGGCCAATTCGTCTACTTTTCCATACCTGTCAGAGAAATAATTTTTAACATCTCCAATTCAGTAGACTTAGTTGTTTTACAAGTCCACTGAAAAACTAATTCAACAGAGTCCAATCTGTGGAAGACTCACCTACCCAATTAGCTTTTAGAACTTAATGACAAATTTGGGTGGGACAAAAAGGAGATAAATATTGTGACAATTCTGAGAACAGCTCATGACAACTCCCTCAGTGAGAGCACCCTAGACTAGGGGCTAAGATGAGATGCTCCAGCTCCTCCCCTCCGTCCCCCAGAGTTTGTGATGACTCGCTCTGCAGTGGGTCTCTGCCTTCCCTGGTGAAGCTTCTTTGCCAATACTGCAGGTGATGTACTCACACTAAGAAATCACTCGTCTCTGATTCACATCTAACTGGGAATCCTGTATTTTACCCAGGAATCCTACTCCCTTTCCCCGAACCCCAGAGAAACCGCCGGCAAGTTCTGTTAGTTAAACTTGAAAAATCTATTTCAAGTGTCTCTCTTGCTCCCCATATCCATAATAATCACTTCTAATCCAAGCCTCCACCAGCTGGACTGTGACATGGAGACCTGAGTGACCACCCAGGTCACAATCCACTGAGTGACCACAGTGATTGTCCAAAACCCCTCAGTGGCTCTGACTACTTAGAATAAAACCTCAAATTATAAGACTAATTGCCTCAAAACCCACACTCCTCATGGTGGCCTCAAAGGCCCTGCTTGATCTGCTGCTGCTCAATCCTCCAAACTTATCCCAAGCCACTCCCGCTGCATCCCCAGGCTGAAGCCAAACTGCCCCCTTTCTCTCCTCTGGATGCACCCATTGCTTCCCTGTCTGGAGGTCTTTGCACATGCAGCCCCCTTTGCCTCCTAAATTCTTTCCCAGGCTGATTTTTCTTATCCTTCACCCCATCTACAACTGCGTTTACAGTAGTCCCACCTTATCTGGTTTCAGTTACCCTCGGCCAACTGCAGTCCAGAAGTAGATGATCCTCCTTCTGAAGTATGGTCAGAAGGCCAGTAGTGGCCTAACACTAAGGCACAGTGCCTGCGTCATTCACCTCACTGCATCTCATCACGCGGGCATTTTTTTCATCTCAAAAGAATGGTATGATACAATAATATTTTGAGAGCAAGAGAGAACACATTCACATAACTTTTATTGCGTTGTATTTTTGTAATTGTTCTATTTTGTTATAAATTATTGTTGCTAATCTCATACTGTGCCTAACTCACGAATTAAATTTTACCACAGGTGTGTACATATAGGAAACAGTATGTACAGGGTCGGGGCCTCTCTGTGGATTCAGGCACCCACTGAGGGCCTTGGATCATATCCCCCGTGGAGAAGGGGGAACTACTGTATTGCCTTCATTTCTTAACTTTATTAATTTTATGTTTATGGCTGTAGGTCAAGTACTGTGTGCAAACTTAATGAACCCTCCACCCCCAGCCCTTCAGCTCTGGGGCCTTGTGCAAGCCATTTCCCAAAACTATAAGTGCTCAGAAGATCAAGGGGCTGGGAGCACAGTCAGCGCTCCCAACATCCAGGCCAAGCGTGCCTCTCGTGGGCAGGCTACGGGGCGTGGCCTTCTGCTCCCTCAGGCTGCCCCACAGGTTGGGTCCACCTTCCGAACCTTCCCTTATTCTCCTCGCTCCTTGGGCGGGGTCTGCGGAGACGATTTAAGCATTCTACTCCTAGTCCCACACTATCATTTCCACTGGCAAACACCGGAGTACCGTTAGGACCACTTGCAGCTGCCCCTCCGTCGATTCCTAGCCCGAGGGTTTTTCTAGAAGTGGCGATCAAGCGCAACTTAATCATTCCCTCCCAGCCTCCGTCCCTCTTTGTACCCTCGCGTTACCTTCTAACATTGGGTATACGCTCAAAAAAAAGAACTGAGGCTGGAAAGACGCAGTCCATGGCAGAGTTTCCCCTAAGAGATGAAGAGTCCCTCGGCCTTACCGGCGCCGTCTGTGCCCCGCTAGCTCCACCCCAAAGCCCAGGGTCTCCCGCCACCCGCCCAAGGCTGAGAGCGCACCCCTCCCTCCCGGGCAGGACGACGGATCCTAAACGGAGCACAGCCACCCGCTGGAGCAAAGCAGGTAACGCCTCCCGGGGCACCGGCGCGGCGGGGGCGGGCCCTGGGCTTTTCCAGGCCGAGCGACCGCGGCGGGCGGCCAGGCCGCAGCCGCTCGGCTCCGAGCGCGTCTCCTCCCCGCCGCCCCCATCCTTCCTGCTTCTGAGCCCAGGCCCCGCCACGCCAAAGGCAGTGCGCGGGCTGCCCCTTCCCGGAGAAAGGGCCCGCCGGTTCGGGGAGCTGCTCGGGGCCCCGGTCTGGTCCCGTCGGGCCACACATCCGGTAACCGAGTGTAAACCGCAGGCGGCGGCGGCGGGCTGGGCCTCGGCCCCGCGCCCCACACGCTCCGCGCCGGCAGCCCCCCGCCCAGCCCCGCGCCCCCTGCCGCTTCCCGGACGCTGAGGTCCCAGGCCCCAAAGCCCCCCCATCCCGCGGCCGGCGCGAGAGGTTGCTGCCCGCCGCCGGTCACCTTGGCAGTCACTGTGGGGCCTCGCCTGCGGGCGCTCGAGGCCCCCACACACGGCACGAGCGCGCCGAGCCCCGCGCACAGCACGAGGGGCAGCAGCAGCCGGGGCCCCGGGCCCATGGCGAGCGGCGACCGCGACCGGGGCGCGCGGAGGGCTGCGGGTTGCGGGTGGGCCTCCCGGCCGGCTGCGCCTGCGCGCTCCCCGTTGGTGGGGGGAGGGAAGCGTGCGGGCAGGGCCGGAACCTGGGGCGCGCTCCTCCCAAGTTCAGCCCAGTGACCCCAAGTAGGCGCTCCGGGAGGCGCGGCTCCGGACGCAGGCGGGGGCGACGGCCGTGCCTGCCACGGGTGCGCCTGTCTCCGGGGCGGGATAGAGCCCGCGCCGCCGAGGCGCGGCGCCCCGAGGCGCACGGACCCTCGGGCTCGGCCCGGAGCCGGAGAGCCTAGGGATGCGGCGGGCGCACCTCGGAACTTACCGCGTAGGCGCGTGGTAGCCCTGGGCGGATCTCGGGGGCGCTCGGGGCTCCCGGTCTGCCTGGCAGCTTGCGCGCCGTGGGGCAGGGGACACTGCGGGCGGGTCCCCGTCTGTGACCGCAGCTGCCCTTGGAGGCCGCGCCTGCCGGATTCCAATGTCCCATCAGAGACTTGAAGCTAAGCTGTGGCCTCCTCGCAGAGCGTTGGGACCCCGGATGGGTTGACTGTACTAGATAATTGGCCTCTCACTGAGATGATTCAAATTGGGTATATAATTTTTACAAAAATTTAAGAATTATGTTTATGGAGATTATTTAATGATATGGGGAAATGCTCGTTATATTTTTTAATGGAAAACTCAGATTGCAAAACCACATAGAAATTCTGATCTCAGCTGTGAAAATAAAGATATAAAGGCATCTTTGAAAATGGAAAGAAATGCACCAAAACATTTATAGTAGCTATGGTGATAGAACTGTGGATCTTTGTTTTCTTTGTGATTTTCTGATTTCCCAGCTGTTGAGAGCATGTAAGTGTTTTATAGTCAGGAAAACGTTATATTTAAACTCAATGCTTTTTGAATTAGGACTTTAAATAACTTTTTAAATTTTAGAGTAATAGCCTGGTGCCTTTCCTTTCAAGCCGAGTTTTCTCTGGTAAGCAGATAACATTCCAACCATGTAACTAAGTGTAGATCTAAAATTACATTGGAACCATTTGTTATATTTAAAAAGAAAGACTGCCACTTTTGAGGGGTGGCCAGAATACTTCTGAATTATTTTGATATTCAGTCTAATGAAGGCTTTCCTTTTCACCTTCACCCCCAATAAAGAAAGAGGCCCCCTTTTGTAGCAAGCAAAGGGTATCAGAGCACTGATCCCATTGAGAGGTTGTATATATTTGTATTCATGACTGTAACTGCTTTTGTTTCTCTCCATTACCAGACTGTAAGCATCACCAGCGTGGGGAGCATGTCTGTATTTATTCCTTTTGGTGACCCAGATCTAGTACAATGCCTGGTAGATAGTGATTTCTGGATAAATACCTGTTCAGTGAATGGATTTGTCTAGCTACTTTTTAAGTGTCATTTTATTGGGAAACTTGGTACAAATTAAGAAAAGTGCATAAAATGTAAATATCAATGAACTATCACAAAGCAAACCCAACTAGACCCACCACCCCACCTGTAAATACATGAAATATTCACCATTTCTCTAACTCCTCTTGTACCCACTCCCAGTTACAATTACTTTCTTCTCCCCAGACTAACCACAATCCTGACTTCTTCCATTATGGTTTAGTTTTGCTTTAACTTCATGTGAATGGAATGTTATGCTATGTATTCTTTTGCTCAAATTGATGTTTGTGAAACTCATCCACTTTTTTGCATGTGGCCATTTCGGTGACTCGTACAAGGTAGGGGTCAAATTCAATTTTTTTTCCATATGAATATCTACTTGTCTCAGCACAATTTATTAAAAAGCCCCTCCTTTACTCACTGCTCCATAATACTACTTCTATCATGGAACAAATGTCCATACATGCACGGACCTGTTTTAGGCCCTCTCTTTTGTCCATTGGCATATTCGTCTGTCTTTGTGCAGTACCATATTGTCTTACTGAAAATAGCTTTACAATGAGTCTTCATATTCATTAGTACAACTCCTCTCATTTTGTTCAACAGATCCTTGGGTATTCTTGACACTTTCCATGTCCATTTAAACTTAAGAATCTACTTCGCAGTTTCCATAAACTGTGATTTTGATTGGGATTGCATTGCATTGATAGATCATTTTGGAAAGACTTGACATAATGTAATACTCAGTAATACTGAGTTTTCCAGTTCTTGAACATGAAATATTCCGCCATTTATTTCCATCTTCTTTAATTTCTCAATAATATTTTTAAATTGTCTGCCTAAAGAATTTACACATATTCTGTTAGATTGATTTCAAGGATTTGGGGTTTTTTTATGCTATTGTAAATTACACCTTTTTAGAGACTTTTCCTGTTTGTTGCTACTATATTGTGATAAAAATGATTTTGTACATCAATCTTGAAGAGACCAACTTTGTTTAACTCATTAATGCTAACAATTTATCTGTGAATTATTTAGGATTTTCTACATAGACAACTGTATCATCCATGAACAATGAGAGCATTCTTTCTAATTTTTATTGCTTTTTCTTGCCTTATTGCATTGATTAGATCTGTTCAAAAGGAAATAGCAACTGGGGGAATCCTTCTGTGTGTTAAATTGTGTCCCCCCAGAAAGGTAGGTTGAAGCCCTAAACCCCAAAATCTGTGAATGTAACCCTATTTGGAAGTAGGGTCTTTGGAGATGTAGTCAAGTTAAGGTGAGGGTGGGCCCTCCTCCAGTATGAGTAGTGTCCTTATAAACAGACATGAGACAGAGACACATGCGAAGGGAAACACCAAGGGGAGGCAGAGTGGAGCAATGTATCCATAAGCCAAGCAATGTCAAGGATTGCTGGCAACCACTGGACGCCAGGAAGGGGCAAGGCAGGGTCCTTCTCTAAGGCCTTCAGAGACAATATGGTCCTGCGAAAACACCTTGATTTCAGACTTTTAGACTCCTGAACTGAGACAATACATTTGTGTTGTTTGTAGCAGTCCAGTTTGTGGTGTTTCTTTCCAGCAGCCCTAGGTAACTAATAAACTTGTCTTGATCCCAATTCCAGAGGGAAAGCTTTCAGTATTTCACCATTAATTAGTCTGATCTTTGCTGAGGATTCTTTTGGGAGAGGATGTCTTTTTTTTCAATTTAAGAAAATTCCTTTCTAATCCTAGTTTGTTAAGAGTTTTTCTCATGAATTTGATCATCATCATTTACTGAAATCATCTGAAAAAAACAGGTGGTTTTTGCTTGGTCTGTCAATGTGTTGAATGGCATTGATTTTCGAATCTTAACCCAACTCTGCATTCTGGAATATGCCCAACATTTATCGGCTTTTCATATATTGCTGGGTAGTTCACTCATTTTGCTTTTTTTAAAACAAACGTGCCAAAACCTGAAAAAAGGATTTTTCTTGAAGTTCAGGGAAAAAACAGTCAAGTGGCTCTGGCTTTCCAGTTCAGACCATGCTAATCGCCAATAGTCCATTTTAATGTTAATGGGTAAGTTCCCTTATCTTATATTCAAGATATTTGCATCTATATTCGTAAGTCAGACCAGCCTCAAGTTTTTCTTTCTTGAAATTCCCTGTCAGTTTCTAGATCAGGGTGACTCTGGCCCATAACCATGAGTTGACATATAGCAGCTGTCTTTCCCTGCGCTCTGAAAGGTTTTGTGAAAGATGGGCAGCATTTCTTCCTTGAATGTTTCACGGAGGCCATCAGAGCCTGGAAATTTCTTTCTTGTACACTTTCGAGTTACAGGTTTAATTTTTTAAGCAGTTGAATGATTATTTAAATTATTCTCCCAATTTTCACATGTAGTATTTTTTTTTGAGAGGGCATCTCTCATATTTATTGATCAAATGGTTGTTAATAACAATAAAATTCTGTATAGGGGGGTCAATGCTCAATGCACAGTCATTAATCCATCTC